ACTGAACGAGTCGAGTATCACATTCGTACATTCGTCCCCTTCTGTGTTCCTGAGTCTCGGGTTTTATTACCATGTATCACATTGTACTCTGATAACACTCTACGCGTTCTACTGCAGTGACAGGGCCAGGCAACATATGTGACCGAGTGGTCCGGTCAGCTTTAACCGTGAGTGTGTCATATGGTGGGCACACCTTTTCAGTACTGCTCGGTTTGATCGAAGGTGCAAGTGTCAACACCTACACAAAAATCAGCCTCAGAAGAAAAAACTAAATCTGGTTCTATATAAAAACAAACATAAAGAACAAATGCATAATATGTAAAATTAATATGCATGATTACAAATTGAGTTAAATCCCAGTTACAATTCTTTGCTTCAAGTTGATTCCCAGTTAGGGCCCCATTGGTTCCCAGCTGGAACCGGCATATCTCAGTAGTTGTGACTCCAAGTGGACCCAGTTTCAAATCTAACTGGCGTACCCGCAACGACCCCCCCCCCCCCCCCCCCCCCCCTCCCACCCCGTTCCCTCCCGGGGTTCCGCGGGGGGTCCCGGGGGTCGCTCCTATCCGTTCAACCTTCTTGCAGCTGGATTATGCACACTTCCCACCTGTAACTGATAACCTTAACGTAACTCAGCTGTTGGCTCGTTGAAAACTACTCATTAGGTGCGATAATCAATGATTCTGGTCACGTTTAAGGTCTTTGCAACAGCGAACACCCATCTAAGCGCGCGGGCGCACTCGGCCGGCCGTCACTACCGCCGGTCACGCTGGTGCAAGAAAGCATTGAGCGTCGTGCTATGTTCCGCTCGCTGGCAGTGTAACGAAGGCTACGGGCACGAGATCAGCTGCGAGACGTTTTTTTCACAGGACGAGCGCCCGGGCTGTGACAGCCGAAGCGGAGCACACTACCGCACGCGACGCAAGCGCTAGGGCCACGGCAGCCACGCCCACAATAATAACGTCACGTGACACAAAGACAATAAAAAGGTATTTATATGCATTAATACTATTTTTGTAACTCACAACTTTTGTCAGGCTGCGTTTAAAAAGTTGTAAATAAACAAATGTTCTGACAAAAATGTTTAGTCACGTGACTTTTTACTGTAAAGCTACATTAAAATCAAACGGGTTTATTTTTATTTGTATTTATTTTCAAAGGCACATTATATTCTGTATGTAGTAATGATTTATATTAGTTATTAATAATTAAGAGGGTGACGTCACTTCTGTTACGTCACTTCCGGCGTCGGAGGAGTGATTTCCACACAGATGTCACTCCTTCGACGGGCGTCGGAGGAACTGCGGCCAAAGCGGCTTGTGTTTTCACAGAAACGCTTTAATAGCTGGTTCTGCTTCTGCATGCCTAATTGTTGTGCACTTATTTTCGGTCAAGAATGAACTGCGGATGTATCATTTCAACTTTCAGGTTTAGCACTGCCTGAGCTTGATTTTCCAGACAGTGTTTGGTTGCTTACAGTAATGCGTAAAGTACTTCTGACAACTACTTGGAAGTACAAAGTAAATGAGAGGTTATGTAGTTCAAGTAAAGTAGTAAGTACACCGAATGGAATGTACTTGTAGTAAAGTACTATAAATACAATGTACTTCCAAAGTAAAGTTGAAGTACTTTTTAACACACTCTTTCAGAATGCCCTTTCATTTCCTACACAGCATTGTTTTGTTTTTTTAATTGGCCGGTATGCATTGCTTTAGGGCAAATCAGAGGTGCATCAGTTTTTTTTTTTTTTCGGAAAGAACGGCCAATTCAGAAATGCATCAGTTTTTTGTGTGTTTTTTTTAATTTTTTTGGGGGGAGAAATGGCGGCAACTAATACGTCATAGAGTGATTGCTTTATTCTCGCTGCCGAACCATTTAACGCAATCAACTGATAAAGCACTTATTTGGATTGATTTTATAGCCGACATTACTCGGAGAAATGACCAGATGACGTCTCCAAAGGCAGCACAAACTATACAGGAGCACCAGATAAACTTCAGAGCAGGTGCTGCACTTTGTTACCTCTTTTGAGTGAGGATGTAGTGTGACCTCCTGTAGTGGGCAAGAATTCCTACATTAGGAAGAAGCGGGGAGAAGCCCTTTCTTCAAATGCGTCAAGTCTCCTTGAGCTTCGGGACACAGAGAAACGCCAGTCTTCGGCGCTAATCCCTCAGTTACTCGGCCTCTTTTGCGTCGTGTTTGTTCGATCGCCGCGCCTCATAGTAGCGTTGTTGCAGTGGGGGGCTGGTAAACATTTTGGGGGGTTTTCGACTATCCAAATCACTTTCTTCCCCCCCCCCCCCCACACACACACACACACACACACACTTTTCTACGCCACATGCTTCCCCCTCTGCAAATATCAGCTGACCTTCCAACATCTTATCTCAGTTGCTAGGCGTTTCAACCACTAAAATTCGAACGTAATTTGTAATTTGAGTAGAACTCACTCGGAAAAGTAGTTAAACTACTAATAACCCAAATAGAAATGTAATTGAAAGTTACTAACCTACCCAGAAAAGTAGTTAACTTCAGTAACTTGAGTAAAGTAGCTGAACTACGTACAAGTTTGGCTGGCAGGAGCTCTGCGTGAGGGTTTTCACCTATCTAGCTAGCCCCGCGCTCCATGTGCAAATAAAATTATTGTTATTATTATTGTTATTATTATTATTGTCATTATTATTATTATTATTATTATAACAATCTTGTTTTCAGCTCGCAAACAGTTTGTGCCAAAACGGAATAATATATTGCTTTTTAGTTCATGTCATTTCGTGATTTCCATGTGTCTACATAAAACTGAACACAGAACTATCATGCTCGACGTTGCACATGCGACATTCCTAACTCTTCCCAACTTTCTAAACGCCCGTGTGTGTCATAACACCAGAAACTGGAATTTAAATATTAAAAACGGAACGTTGCGAATACGGAAGGCATACTTTCATGCTAAGCTTACGTCAAGTGACTCAGATCGAAAAGCATGCATATTTACAATACTGTTATCTCTTCTGGTGAAGGCAAAGCAACCATTGCATTCGTTTTCCCGCACGAAACGGTGACTCCCAGAGAGAGTAAAAACGCAGGGATTGCCTTTATTTTAACAATGTAATCAAACTTGCAGGCGTGCGCTGATGAAGCCTCAAAATCAAAACTCTCGTAGCGTGATTCGTGACTGTGCCGGCTACTACCCAACCTCGTTGTCACTCCACTTTCTGCAAGCAAACACTAAAATTGCCAGTAAACACACAAAAGCGACATCTATACTATCTAATAGAATATCACCTTATTTACTCTTTTTTTTTTTATTGATCCTTTGGGAGGGTGGACGGCACGAGGCCGCTGTAACTGTATCAATAGGTACTACATGGTGTATTAAAGTTAAGAAAAAAATATTAACCTTTTTTCGTCAGAAAAAAACTAAATATCAATGTTAAGTCTGGTAACAGTGCATTTTTGCCGAATCATTGCCGAATCGTTAGAAAAGTTCGGTAAAAGTTGCGCCGAATTTTCGTTTCGGCTAAAGTTTGGCCCATCACTAGTAAAAATATGTGACCGGGGGTGGGGGTCTGGTTTGCCCGCCCCCCCCCCCCCCCCCCCCCCCACTCAAAAGCAAGTTGGTACGCCACTGGCCGTGTCCTCACCTAAAGAGTGTATCTTTCACCGTGGTATGGTGGTGGTTGTGCGCGTGCACCGCGTGCACGCGCACGTGCGTCGGCACGTGCGGACTGCAGCGACTCTCTGCTGCCCTGGCGACTGCAGCTCCGCGATTATTGTCTACACGTGCAGCGTCACAAGTTCCCATTGTTGGGTCGCGCCGGTCCAAACACTACCCCGTATTTAAAACACTTTACTAGAATTCTAGTACACTGTTCTAGTACACTGTAACAGGAGGTGTTGCGCGGCACCTACTCCTCTCTTACTCGCCGCGAGCTGTGCGCGTGGCATTGCCGAAATCGAAAGGGCTTGTTTTGACAAAAACCCGGCGGTGTCTGTCAGTTTGTCATCGCCGAGGAGAGAGGGAGAGGTTGACGCGTGCTGACGTCAGCGCTTCGGACCAATGTGAGCTTCGCACGTGTCACCGTCGCCCCCCTTCTCTCTCTCTCCCTGGCGCTCACAAACGAAAGACACCGCCGGGTTTTCGTCAAAACGAGCGTTCTAATGCCAACGCATTAAAAGATAAGTAACCAAGGCACGATCTTTGAATCGTTACTACCTTGCACAATATTAATATGCGATATGCTCGGCGTTCGACAGAAAGTTTATTGTCCTATATCAAGCAAAACAAAAAATCTGATATTTTTTCTTATAAACTCTTATTTTTAATATTTTTCTTATGTTGAGAGGAACCATTGCAGACGTAGTTGCGATCCGTGAAGCGCAGACTCATGCCTTTCCCTTGTTCGCTAAACGTCTGCTCTCCCTAACCATTCTTAATATGCAAAATAAAATAAAATAACGAGGTAAAAATTATGGACATATTACTTTCTACTTTCTTGTTTCCTCTATATTTCAGAATTTCGAAAGTAATTTTGAATTACGCGCTAAACCCGACACCGCCGACGCTGGGGATGCTAGTCGACGCAAAATGGCCACACGCCCCCTGCCGCCGCCATAGAGATCATGCCGCCGCCGATGAACACCCGGCGCCGCGCCGCCGCCACCGAACAAACCGTCGCCGCCGGTCAAAAACAGATCAGAAACGTTTAAAAATGCAGGGAAAATATCGCAGGGGTGCAGGCGAGCTTGTAGTTTTTATTGTCTGTATTTTTAGTGGTTTTGAGTGGGTTTATTCACCTTTAGCCCCAGGTTCCAGGCGTTCACAAAAATTAAACCAACCATCATAAAAAATATACATATATATATATATTTTTTTTTGTCTAATGTTTTTGAAGATATTGCTTGCTTGAAAGAATTTGTCATCTCCGATGATAAACGATTTTGAACTTCTAGAACGGAACAAACTCAACATCAAGCAACCATGAAACTCCTATAAAAAAAAATAGTCACAAAAAAAAACCTTGCGCATGCGCTTTGCGGGTACCGCGACCCGTATGCCCCCCGTGCGGTTGCCCTTGCTCGGCATACTTTCTTCGGCCGGCCGCCGGTATGGCGTACTCAACGCGGATTTACTCCAACATGGTAAATGCCTCATGCTCCTTATGCAAGCCTCCTCTAAGGTTTACATCATCCCCTGCCAAATAGCTTGCACGCCCTGCTTCTGAGCCTGCTAATTTAGTGCTGAGCACTGACCTCAGTACAGTCGTGCTCATGTGCGCTGTACGCACTTCTCGCATTTTAGTGTATCTATGCTTTTCTGATTTTTTTTACGGGCTCTTGGGAGGATGTGATGGGACCCCTACTCGCTTATGAAACGCAGTTTACTCTGAAAATTGTGGAGCTGACGGCGTGAGGGCCGTAATAAGAAGCGCTTGACCTCCGTCGCCCCGTATCGGTCATTGACGTAACGTGCCTGAAATCGGGCGGAGTTGGCACTACGATGACCGCGATCCAGTTTGCGTCGTCGTCAACTCCTTGTTTTCCCCCTCTCTCGCAGGTGGCACAGAAACTCTGCAACCATGTGCGATTCTTTCACGCATCTCCCGCATCTTTGGCCGCAGCACACAAGGTGAGAAAACTTGTCTCGAGTTACACCAGAGTCGTTACTTAACAGATATAGACTTACGAATAGATGCACCAAAGAGGATTCTAGCGGTCCTGTCGACACCTTTCCGGTGGATACCCATTTCATGGGTCCCCATGCAGAATGTACGGTATAGTTTCACTGATCCTGTATTTTTCCTATCTAGTCAGCAGATGGGCTTAATGAGTGGGCATTTATGTCGTAAAGTGGTAGATGAACCTCATGAATGGGTAGGTGTTATGCAGGGCGCAAGTTCGTCTGCATCTTGCACAAGGGTTGTGATGATGTCAGAATGCCAAACTCTTATTGGCCGATTAAAAAAAAAAATAGTGGGTGGTCTTGAAGACATCTGGCATTGAGGTGTACACACTATCCTTCCAATCAAAGCCAATCAAAACTCGAAGTCGTTCTGACATTACCGCAACCCCTGCGCAATAAGCAGACGACTTGCTCTCCACATTGAGTAACGGACTTTAGTGGGGCAGTCGGTTTATTACGGTGTCTTCATCCATTTCTTACCTTCGTGTGTGTATTCGCCCAAATCGTTCAAGCTGCCCACATTGCCAATAGTTCTGGACGTATTACTTCAGTTTACTAAAACTACACTCTAGTTTTCTAAAATCAGCTTTAGTGGACTGATGTTTCTACCTTAACCTCGATTTATGGGCACTTCCCCCCAAACCAACGTACGCTCCAATTTTAAACAAAGTCTCTGGCCAGGCAGAAGTAGGTGAAAAAAAATAACACACAGAGTGTGTGATGACACTTTTGTCGTGTTCATCTTTGTGCCTTGTCCGTTTTCAGGTTGCCATCAGCAAGTTCGAGCCCGACAACTACCTTCCCTATGACAAGCTTCAGCAAAACCTGCAGGTTGTCAGAAAGAGGTAACTTTTTTTATATTTATGCAACGTCGTCTTTGAATGTGTACGCATACTCTGGCGACTGGGGGGTGGGTGGTTGGCCGCGTCTGGTAACGCGCCGCATCTGGGAGTGCGTGGCACAAAGCTTGCATTGCAAGAACCCAGAGGTCCTGGGTTCGATCCCCACCCCTGCTTGTTTCAATCTGGCCAAGCGTTGTACCGTGGTGCGGACGTTTATCACTACTGCGGGATGCATGTTAAAGACCCCAGAGTAGCTGTGGTACTGCACTGACCAAGTTTCTCATCTACAGCTTAGACACTGGATGCCCACTGACCCTGACGAACTTCCTGTTGTGTAAACGTACACATGACGCAAATATTTTACCCTGGTGACTTGGGCCCGGTTTTTGTCCGTCCTGTCCATAGCCAGACAATACCTCTCTGCTCTGTGGCGCCGTGCCAGGCTTCAAAAACCGTGTGATGGGCACAATTCAGCCTGTTCTTGGTATGGTACCGAGGGACCGAGAGGCTTCATAATTTCTCTTCTCCGCTAGGTGTCTGTGATATCGGTGGTTACTAGACTTTTAAGAGTTTCTCTGAATGAGTCAAATTTGCTCGAGCTAAGACGTCATTCAGTAACAAATGCAGTCACCGTAAAAGACGGAGCATCCTCTTATTCCAGAATCCCCCAGTTTTGGATGATTATCTCCAAATTTTGAGTGGGTGCTAGTTTAGTATTTGATGGTGTGTCCTTACGAATGTATCTAGGCACAGTTTGTTGCATTATGAAGTAACTGAGCTGCATCGTGAATTCTCCCTAAACTTCATTCAGCATAAACTATTTCATGCTGCCCTGTCAAAGCTAACGTATATCTTCCAAAGTGTCCTAGCCTTGCATTGCTGAAAGAGCACTTCATCTTGCAGCTCATGCACGCACGCTTTCGTGCGAAGTCGATTAATATGGAGCATAACTTCCACAGTGCTCCAACAGCATTGTGGAAGTTGTGCTAGCCTTGACAGTGGACAACTGAGTAGTTGACACCAAGTATTGTGTGTAAAGTCCGAGATTTGGGTGACGCATTTCCTGAACGCCCGTTCACTTTTTAACCGCGCAAAAGATGTCGGTACAATCCTGTTTCGATTTGACACGTTGCTTGTGGCACACTTTTGGGACAGCGGCTAAAGCGCCGTGACATTTGTTAGTGATCACAATTTCTAGAAGCGGCTATAATCAACCTACCGTAAAATACCATGCGTCCGCCCATTCCACATTAAGCGCCGATATCCAAATTTTTAAGATCTGAGAAAATATGCACAGTACATTTATATGTAAAATTCATGACCGAACAAGCGCCCATTCCCCATTTTTTCGCGATTATCTCTAAATTTTGAGTGGGCGCTTGCCCAATATTTTACGGTAAGTTACAAGTTGCTAAAAAAAATTTAACGCAAGTTCCAGTTGCTAAAATTTGTTTTTGATGCCGCTTTAATTCTATGCAGTGGTTTACACTGACTTAAATAAGGGCTTGCAAGTTGTCTGTTTACTGCTCTGCTGGTTATGCAGGGTGTCCCCCCCCAAAAAAAATGTACCGTGTTTTGTCTTTTCAAAAATAAACTACACCTCGGCAAGCTCTCCCTCTCCACCCAAATGTAGCCCTAGCGGTTCAGACCCAATGCCGAAGTTTCAGACCTAATTATCGTATTCAGAATGTTTAAACGATTTTATGAAACTTCTAATAGGAAAATGGCGGTCGACGACCCATGAAAGATGAAAGGCGTCGGCCACCGGGAACAAGCTCCACTTTCCCATTTGAAAATTAAAAAGAAAAATTGTGCATAATCTTTTAATTAGACAACGGCATGTTTTGAGACTTTGGCGTTTGGTCTGAACTGCTTGCGCTACAGTTGGGTGGAAACTGAACATTTGGTGATTCATACTTTATTTCTGCAGTGAAGGAAGCAGTAAAGTTTATTTGGGGAACATGCTGCAAAGAACAGTTTACAGATGGCAGTATAGGTAGACAAAAGAATAAACAAACAAAACCTGTTAATGACAGGTGCACATATTTCATGAAAGAGATACACATGTTGTTCGTTGTCTTGTTTATTTATTCTTTTTTATGCGCAGTTGACAAACGGCTCTCATGAACATGGCGCAATTCCGCCGTGTGATTTCTTCTGTTTGATTTCCCTGTGGCTTATGCGACGACGTGCACTTGATTGCAATGGTCATGCTTTATTAAAGCAAGCAACGAGTGAAAATAGCCTGGGTTTCTGAAGGACAGTATTGACGTCACATATGTCCTATACAGTAAAGAAGGGGAAAGGATGGGCTTGGGTGTGTGAATCGAAAAAAGATCACTCAGCAATGTCTTGTGAAAGAAAATGCAAGATCGAAATATGTAGAGTGACGTGCGTAATAAGGGGAACAGAAGCACAGTTTTAGAAAGACAAACCCTTGTGCCATAGCGGGATTTTGCACTAATAGGACGCAGTGGCACAGATTGCAGAAACAGCCAGGTTGTTGCATCAGCCATCCAAGTTTCTCATTAATGTTTTGCTGAACAAGGTACAGTGTCTGTCGAGACTTGCTCTACCTTGAAGTGTAATGGATGTCCATCACTATGCATAGAGGTGGGTGTGGCCATGCAGAAGTTTGTTGCACCTCAAGGTTTGACTGATTTGCCAAACCTTCAGACTTTTGGCAAATTTTTACAAATTTTGACTTTTGAAGAGTGTTTCCCATATCTACTCAAAAATGTAATAGTTTTTGCAAAGAAGAAAACAATTCATGAAAGCGGCGACGCAACAATATTTTTTTAACTTTGTGCAAATACTGCTTAAAATAAATCCCTAACGTTAATGACCTGCGAAACACGCGTGCATATTTCACCAGACGCAATAGAAGTTTCAGAAAAAATTAAAGAAAAACGAGCATCGTTCATCGCTTCAACTTGCAGCCAGAACAAGCGGCCACATGATCTGGAGCTGATTGTACGCCGCATATGTTAATCATAGCCACGTTCTGGGGTTAGCAAGGCACAGGATACGCGCCGAGTTGCAGACATTGTTATGGTTCTGCTACTGTCGTCATTGCCGCAACTGGACACGAGCCACTACCCAAATACTTTTCGAGCTATTGATCATCACGTGCCCAAATCGAGTGCTGACGCAAAATCTTTTGGGACAAGCTTTGTAGATACATGTTGTCTCACTATTATAAATAACTCATTTATTTATTTATGCATAATACCCCTTGAGGCCCTCCAAGGGAAAATATTACATAGGGGGAAGGACATAAAATACAGAAAATATATTAAAAATAAATTGTACAAAAACAAGCTATAATGATGAATAAGATAAATATGACTAAAATGAGCATGAGTGGACAAGAAAAACACTACCATAAAATACCAGGCGAGCACCCACTCAAGATTTAGAGATAATCACGAAAAAATGGGGGATGGGCGCTTGTCCGGTCATCAATTTTACATATAAATGTACTGTGCATATTTTCTCAGAACTTAGAAATTTGGATATGGGCTCTTAATGTAGAATGGGCGGATGCGCGGTATTCTACGGTAGATGCTATTATCACTGCACACAAGTTTCCGAAATTTTGTTACATCGCAGAATATTTTTGGGGTAACGGAGGTGTTTGCATTGACGGGAGGCGACTGCAATGGCAAACGTCGACACAGAAGGCTGGAACTTGGGCCCGAACCCAAGGAGCTTCGAACCGAGCCGCACACACGAGAATGGGCTCGTTGCTCCGGTTCGCTCGTCGACCGCGACGAGCACGAATAATGCGTCGCCTAACGCCGGTTCCTGCTCGGCTGCGTCCACTGTCGAAGCAGCCGATTCGTCTCTCTCTCTCTCTCTACTTTGCGCACGACGGTCGATGACGTTGTGGCAGTCCCCGACGGGATGAGGATGGCAGGGTGTCGGTCTCGGATGCCAGGCCTACAGCACGCGCCCGTTGCCGTCCGTCGCACTTTAGCTGCATGCATACGTCCAAGGCTCGCAAGTCGCGAAGCGTCGTCGAAGGTTGGAACGCTCGCGCCGGGGACGGACGAATTCCCTTTCTGCCGTTCTTGTCTTGCCAGCGATCGTGGTGCGTCCAGATTCCGCCGCAAGCGGTAAAGAGGGAGTGCTGTTGGCAGCATTGTTCATCGACCGTCGTCGCAGTCAACGTCGTCCTGGCGACATCCCTCGCTGCCTGGCAATAGAGAGATGCGGAGGGGGAGAAAATTGGTGTAGAAGGGCGAGGGGACAAATCGCTCTTTTGGTTTCTGGGCTAGGTGGCATGAGCTAGCGCTTGTCGTAAAGGGCCACTGATCCATTTGTCTACGCTCGCGACTGCAGGCTGAACAGGCCGCTGACCCTGTCGGAGAAGATCTTGTACTCTCACCTGGACCAGCCCGAGACCCAGGAGATCGAGAGGGGCACCAGCTACCTGCGGCTACGGCCGGACAGGGTGGCCATGCAGGATGCCACCGCGCAGGTCCGTGCTCGGATGGGGAACAACTTTCTATGGCAGTGTGGTTTAAGCTAGGGGTGCTCATGCGTTCGCACATGCAGAGTGTCTATTAAGGCTATGCACCTGAAGTTTTCTCTTCTTCAAGTGCTCGAGAAAGCTCACCTCGGGTGTACTTCAGTGATTTGGGTGAAGGTGGTTGTTCAAAGATCTCTGTTGATTTCACTGTTAAGGCTGGATGAGTCATTTGCTTCGGAGTACGACTGACTGGATTATCACCGTTCGTGACTATTTACAGTGAGATGCTGCTACGAGTTGCTATGGCAACCGAGGTGTGCACGGCATGACATAATGGATAGTGAGGAGTCGTAACGCAGTCGGTAGTACTCAAATGCAAACGTCCGAACTACCCTCTAGACGACTGTGAAAGTATTTGAGGTGTCTCTAAAGCTTTTGTCATCCTTGGAGTATTTTTTGAAGAGCATCAATTCTGTGTCCCAGTAGTACTTGAGCTCACTACTAAGGTAAATTTGCCATTACATTCTTTTCTAAAATGAGATAGACTTTTACTTTTCTGTCATCAATGGCTGCGTTGTGCAGAAAGGAGCGCAACAAGTTTCTTTGAGGAAATGCTTATTCTAGTTCTGCCGCGAGGGCCAAAGGGATCTAACCCAGTTTAAACGGACTGCAAAAATCGGTTTCTCAACGTAGCATGCTGCGATTAACTACAGAGGTGTGGCTATGTGGTGGAAGAATGGATTCAAAATATCAACCACTGAACTTGCCTCGTTTAAAATAGAAAAAAAAAAAAGTACCTGTTTTGGACAATTTAGGGCACCATTTCACAGATGATGCCATTTGGGGCTGGTTACTTGCGTATGCTGCCGACAGATGGTGCAATTTGAGGCACAGGGGGGTGCAGTGCCCCAACCAATTGTTTCCGTAGAAGAAATGGAGGGGCCCCGAGGGATTTAAACACCTGTTTTCATATTTGGTTTACTTTAAAAAAGATATCTCTCATTGAGAATCATACTTTAGAGGTACTCGTGCCACACTGTAGGACGCGTAGTCAAAGCTTTTGGAAGATCGTCTGCTAAGCTTGGCGCCCGGCACTTCCGGCGTCCGTCGGCAGCATTTCGTACGCAACCTGCGATCTCTACGAAATACTGCCGAAGATTGCCTGAAACAGGTTCTATTTTTTCATTTTTTAATGAGGCAAGGTCATTCCATGATACAGTATTATGACTCCGTACTTCCACCACCTAGCCGCACCTCTGCACTAAATTGCAGTGCGATACGTTAAGAAACAAATTTTTGCAGTTTGCTTGATGTTGGTTAGATCCCTTTGGCCTTCGTAGTAGGTGCAATTGACAAAATATTTTGCTTTTAATTTTTTTTTACATGAAATTCACTCTGTTTCTTTTTTCTAATAGAATTTCAGCAGCATGACTGAAATTATGTCAATTCTGTGATCGAGATGCTACCTGCCTGTGCTTGTCCTGCTTCCATGAGTTTTGGAGCTTACTTTTCTATAGTCTTTTTTTTTTTTTTTTGTTATCAGGCTTTGACGGATTGCTAAATGTTTTTTGTCACCTAGTTTTACCTTTTTCTCAGCATTGCCTTACCTGAAACCAGATCTGCTTTGTCCTGCAGAAGTCAGTCTCTCTCTCCCCCTGCTTTGTTCAGCTGAAATAATGTTTCTGTGTTTTGTTGCAGATGGCCATGCTTCAGTTTATCTCCAGTGGCCTCAAAAGGGTAAGGACAAACTCCAAGGACTTACGTGACAAGATAACCAATGCCAAACTTTCTGCATCCCTCAAAGCGCATGCAAACGGTGCTGGGGGCTGATTTACCATTTTTTTTGGTTTTTGGTGGGTCGGCAATTTTAAGTAGAGCTTCAGTGTATGTGTTCTGGGTGTTCTGGAAACAAAAAGTTTTCAAAGGTTCAAAACAAAGAGGCAACCTATTGTTGCTGGAAGCCTAAAAACACTGCAAAGTGGAGACTGCAGGCCGGTTAGAAAAAGGGGGGGGGGGGGAGGGGGGGAGAGGGGTAGTTTGAATAATTTACTAAAGTTGAAGACACAAAAAGAAAAATAATAAATCTGTCACAAGCTTAGAGGGAGGGCAAGGATGAAATAATGGTTCTTGACTCGTTCACTATTGCTCAAAATTACTTGTCATGGTGCAAAGATTCTCCTTAAAGCTACTACCTGAGACTCTTAAAACGCTTTGGATGGTCTCCTTTGTACATTTGACTTCATAGTCTTTCACCTGGAAAAAGATGTTCCCAGGTTTATGTGCTATAGCGAACACTGCAATTAAGGCTTCCGCAAGCTTCCATAGATTTCAAAATTGTTTCAGGGAGGTCTGCGTAAACCGAGCCATTCACTTTAAGCGCGTGCTTAAAGTTCTTGTCTGTTTTGGTCTGAGCGAGATCTATCTCGTAAATCTCTTGAACCTGCCCAAGGTTGAAGACTTCTCGTGGAAGAATGCTCATTTCTTCTGCAAATACTGTTCCAAAAAGAAAATTAGAAGAAAGATTTTTTGTAACAGAGACTCCAGGGATGGAAGAGCTCGAGCTTCAGCTGGAAATCTTACCTCTGAGAGTATCCCCTTCACGAGTTTCCCTTTTCTTGTAATCTTGCATTCAGGAGAAAGAGGTGGTGCAAAGTATCGGCCAGTAATGCCAGGTCGCATGCCCAATCAGGACCAGAAAGGTCCTGTAAGGGCTTCACGGATAAAACTGCAATCTCTTCACAAGTTTAAAGAAACCATAAAAGCCTTTCTTTCCTTATCCGTTGAACTGTTGTGTGAAAGCTGTTGAAATTGGCAATGGTACAAGCTGTGATTCCGAACAAAATTCATGCTAGATAGGATTATACCGAGCTTGCTACTGATTGTATTACTTGCACCGTTAGTCCTGGAGGGTGCACGCTTGTGTGTGTCTTTGCATGAGGGAGGGGGATTGTTGTTTTGTTGGCGTGCCGGGGGTCGCATAATAATGCCTCGCAGGCCGCCGGTTGGTGTGCCCCGGGTTAAAACAGCCGGTAACCTTGACTGGTGAAGTTTCTAGAAAGTCGCCGTCTGCCTGTAGCTATTGCTTAGCCTTACAGAGTCACCTTGTCACTAATGCACACCCCAGAAAGTGAGCTCACACAAACATTGAAACCTTCATTAGATTTCATTATTATCAGTTATTTATTCAAGCATCGTTGATTTTCCGTCGTCATGGTTGTCGGATGATGTTTGCTGACGCGGCATATTGTTGTTGCACTCTGCAGGTGGCGGTTCCTTCCACCATCCACTGCGACCACTTGATCGAGGCACAGGTGGGAGGAGCCAAGGACTTGGCTCGTGCCAAGGTGGGCATCGTTTCTGTGGCAAGGTGCTCCCGAAGGTCGTGAAGTGGCGGGGCTGTTTTTACCGACGCTGTCTAAGAGCCGAGTTTATAACCCACGTTTTTCCGCGGCACGCAGGACCTGAACAAGGAGGTGTACAACTTCCTCAGCACGGCCGGCAGCAAGTACGGCGTCGGCTTCTGGAAACCCGGCAGTGGCATCATTCACCAGGTGACTCGATGCTTCCACATTTATTGTGTAGCTTTAAAAGCCGCCGCACGCTTCACACGTGACACTTGGGCTTGCTCTCCCTTCTCTCGGAAACCCCTTACCCCTTTGCCCCGCCTCTGACGTGAGTTACTTACCCTACCCTGTGAGCTGATGGCATGCAGAGCCTCGTCCCTCTCTCTTTTAATGTAGAGCATGTTTTTTTGCTTGGGGGTGATTCTGGAAAGAGATGTATTGTCATAAATTAGATTAATGCCATGTATTGGGCGAAACAACACAGACAGGAATGGCATCACGGACAGGCGTAGTGTCACAAACAGATGTAAGATGTAAGTTTTTTTGTTTTTTCACAGACAGGTATAACATTACAATTGGGTGTAACGTTGCAGACAGATATGCTGTAGCATCACGGACAAACAGATGTAACGTCGCAGACAGATGTAACGTCACGGACAGATGCAACGTCACGGACAGCTGTAACACTGCAAGCAGATGTAATGTTGCAGGCGGATGTAACGTTGGGGACAGATCTAACATCTTGGACAGATCATCACAGTGCATGTGCACACATCCTTTTCTTGCCAAATTTAGCGGGGAAGTTTATTACGCCACGTGACGTGATGTCGCAGTGTGATGCGACAACCGTGAACATAAGTCTACTTCTGTTAATTCAACCTTTACGAGATATGCGAAATTTGGGTTGAATTATCCGAAAGTGGAAATAAAAGATACGTGCAAAATTCTGGATTTGAGTGCTTTAGATCAGGTGGGCTAACATTTTTATAATGAGCCGACACACGACGGTGGCAGCTGCCGTGTATGTCCTTCGCATGTTCAGTGTGGCGGCGGAAGCAGTGACCGACGGCTTGCAAACAATTGGCATCGCGCCAACGGCTACGAGGCAAACATCACAGTTGGCGTGCGTTGACGCAATCAGCGGCCCTCTCTCACAAACAGCCAATCAGCGCTCGCTGCTCCGCAGCGGTGGTGCAGTGGTTGTTTTGTGTTGAGACCCGGCCGTGACCCGTGTCTCAACATGTGCTCTTTTTCTCTTTTTTCGCAATTCTGTGCGCGCTTCAAAATTTGAAAACGGGTTTTTTCGCCGACGCGCTTGTAACTTGCCCACCGCAAAATTCGGGGAAAAAGGGCTGTTTTTGTGCATCGCTCACGGCCAATCTTGCTCAAGATTTTCCTACCGCCGGTTCTCTCTAGGTCGAATGAACAAATATTTCATACTTCAAGATTGCAATATCAAGCTTTTTTTTAATAGGAATGCATGGGCTTTTGCCGGGACCTTTCAACGGGGTCGAATTAAACGATAGGTTGAATTAATACAAGTCGACTGTATGCTACATTCACAGGAGTTTAACAGAAGCCTAAGCATTTTTCCCCCCTCCCTCGCAACTAGTTGCACAGGCTGAGAGAAGAGGATTCTTTTCCTTGCTGAAAACTGGATTTTTATGTCTGTTGTTTTTAACAACGAACTTGTCTGATGCAAGATAACGAGCCTTTCTCTAGGACTGCACAAACCTTAGATACTATTGGGACTATGCGAACGCCGGCCTATTTTGTGTGTATGTCCGTCCCTGCAGATGCATGCACCGAATAAGCTGTTATGGAAAAGATTTTTTTTCCAAATATAAATAAGGGTAAGAACAGTGTTTTGTGTTCTTCCCATCGTTACCAGCACACTCTCCCTTCCAAGTGTTTTTTTTTTTTCTTGTTTTTTTTTTGGTCTGTCCTCTATATTATACTTCTTTCGTGCGACTTTAGTTTCTTGCATTAATAAGAACACCCTTCGTCGATACCAAATTTCACGTCGGGTACATCAAAGAAGGTTTGAACTCGTGGGCATGCGCTCTGGTATATTTTCTTGTACTCGTGTACTTTTCGAGGGATGTAGTAGTCGGTTCTCGACTCTTGCAGATCATTCTGGAGAACTACGCCTTTCCCGGTGTGCTGCTCATCGGAACAGACAGCCACACTCCCAACGGAGGCAAGTGCTTTTGGTCGCCATGTTGAGCACGGAAGTGCTTTTTCTATGATACTTTGAGAAACTGCTTTCTTTCTGTCCTCCGGTTAAAATGACATGGCTTTCAGTCTGTGGAAGTTTGAGGACAGAATGTGCCTATCTAGTTCACTTTTTGCTTCCTTATAGAGGCGTTCTGCCTTGTGCTAAAGAAACTGGTCCGACTTCGCAAACATGCAACATACCGTGTTTGCACGATTCTAACGCGCACTTTTTTCGCCAAAATCACTGCCCAAAACTACATGTGCGTTACAATCGTAACCAAAAACCGAAGCTAAAAAAAAATAAAAATGCAATGCTCGATATAAGGTGGTTAGCTCCATTGCCATCGTGACCGTTTGTTTACCGCCGCCATTTTGGTATCCATATCACGCACATTCTCTTGCATTCACGGACTCGCGTCTGTCGTTTTAAGAGAAAAAAAAGAAATTCCACTAGGTTTTATTTGAACGAAAGGGCATCACGCTGGCGGAAAAAGATAACAACTGAGCAGCACTGCGTGGCCTCGCATTTCCCAGCCACCTGACGAGCTCCCAAAGGGTTGTTTGAAAGGCGACCCTGCCAGAGGCAACGGCCGCACACTCCTGTGTGCGCAACGATCAGGACACTTAAAGGGACACTGACACCCCTCAAAAAAATGTTTTATTTTTTGCCAGGCGCTTCATTATGGTGTCGGAGGACTACCCAACTAATATTTTGCAACAGAGTAGCATATTTTCTTAATAAAGCCAAAAGACGCAACTGCTCGAAACCGAAACCCGACGGAGGTCGGTGAAGTGGAGAGAAGAGAGTGAGTGGCGGAAGTCACGTGGCTACACCCAACCGTGCGTTTTTTGTCTTTTTTTTTCCTCTCCGTAGCAGACGACACGACATGCGGCGTGCGGGAACTGCTCGCCGTGCGATACTTTTGCAGTTATGTTTGTTCCGCTCGTTGTTCTGTACTCCAAGATGAGTTGTTTTGTACATTGAGCAGTTGGAGATGAGTAGTGAGTGCCCCGTGGTGAATTTCCATGATCGGCACCGAAAAGAATACACCCGAGATGTTGCGTGAAGAGCTGGCTCACATGTCCTGCGTCCGAAAAAAAGTGGCATTGTGCGACAGAGTTTCCGAAAGATCAACGAGATCGGGACCAATGGCTGGCTGCAATTCCTGTAGAACATATACGGGCACCTCGGAAAGCGGACGCTACCTGATTTATATGCTCCTTGCATTTTGTGGAAAGTGATTACATTGAGTTTGCAGGTGTCAAAACGGAAATCCCATACCATTTAATTCAGCGAAGTATCGTCCACAACATTTGTTTGTTATTTTTTTGTTTGTTTCTTCAGTGATGATTGTAAAAAAAATAAAGATACGTAAACATCAAAAAATGTTTGAAAAAAAAAAAAAAAAGTGCTTCACGGGGGATCGAACCCGGACCTACCGCATGTGAACCGGACGTCTTTCCCACTGAGCTACTGCGGCATCTCTTTTGTGGTGGATCTCTTTTCTTAGTAATAATTCAGCCGGTAAACTGTAAGTTGGAAAATTTGCTGTCAATTTTTCTCTAGCAAAAGCACTCTTGGGTCGAAGACGGGAAGCACCACGCTTTGGGGACATTCGCACCTAGTACAGAAATCGTACGCGTGCATACTCAACTCGAAGTAGACACGTCGTGCGTGACGTTTGCGCGAGCGATGTCTTCAGCCACGAGAAGGGAGCGACGGCTCGGCGACGTCTTCGTGCAAATCGGCTTGGTGGTCGGGCGTGTCGTACGGGATGAATACCAATTCTTTTGATCAGTCCCAAATTTCTTTTTTAACGGTAGACAGAATTTGCCGGTACCGCGAACGACAGTTCTGAAATAGAGGTCCCAAGTCCGTTGTCCGCTGCCATCGCCGTCCCCGCGAGTCCCACGATACGCGAAACGACGAATGCACAGAATGCTTCCGGTTGTCTGTGGAACTTTTTTTTTCAATCAACGTTTTTACAGCTTTTTAGAAGCCACAAAAAATGGATTTCATAATTTTTTCTATTTTTAATATTGAGTGTGCGCCTTCAGTGACCCACGACTTTGATTAAATTTGGTGGTCGCATCGATACCTTAGAAAACGGCCCGTGACCGCGAAAAAGAGAGTGAGCGAGACTCGAACCGGCCAGTTCTTGATCGGCGGTTTTCGGGCGGAAAGAAACCGAATCTCGAGCCGCAAATTCTGTTCTGGGTAGTTGAGCTCTCATATGTCACGTACAACTAAAAACCTCGGCGAGCATAAATACCCTGTCAGTGTTCCTTTAAGGTGGGACTAGGGTACTTAAATATGTTTTTTTATTTATCGAGATACCTTGCTGAAAGTTGGCATGCATATGTATCACTGGATGGTGATTTCAAATCTGCAGTTGAATTTCAGATATCTCTTTTAGAACAAAAGATATGCAAAATATAAAATTTCAATAAGGTAATTTCTTACGGGTCGTTATGGTAATTTCACATAAAAAAATTTATATTTTAACAATATGCAGTGCTTTCCAAGGGTTCACCATGTATCCTAAAGCTAATTGAATGTTTATAAAGCCATTTTGTCTACCAGAAATAAATCATAGAATTTCAAAGCAAAAACTTGTCACTAGATAATCCACGTTTCAGCTAATTACTTTTGATCTATTGATTCTAGACGAAAAAGAAAAGCTTTAGGATACACCTCAGTTGTTACTGAAAACAATGATACCAAGCTTACTGAAATCCGCCCATGCAAACATTATGAAGACTTCCGTAAGGCAACGGCTCTAGACAAAAAAAGACAAAGCTGAGAAAATCGCACTTGAAGTTTCTCCGATGTTGGCACTTTTATATATCAAGTCTAGAGAAAAAAGAAAAGCTTTAGGGAGCAGTTCAGTTGTTGCTATAAACAACAACACCAAATTTATTGCAATCGGCTTATAGAAACATAATCAAAACTTCCGTAGAAAAATGGCACCTGACAAAAAAACAAAAAAAAACAACATGAAACCACGAAATCAGTTCAGTAGTATCCGATGTGCGCACACAGTCATAGCAGTCCTGGGCTGTAGTCCTGGGTCCTGGCAGGCTTGTGTCTCTTGGCCATCCTCTTCTTCACCTTTTCACTCTCAGAGTGAGCCTTGTTGGCCTTGTGAAGCCTCCGCCTGACCTTCTCAAGACTCCTGCGAATCAGGCGGCTACCTGTGCTGTAGCCAAGCTGTGCTGCTACAGCCTTGCTCGCCTTGGCCATTCCCTGGTTGAAGCGTGACACGGCTTCAGCGACAGCCCTCTCCACTGACAGCAGAGAGTCATGTGTGTTCTTAGAGTTCTGGCCCCAGATCACAGAGTGTAGGCACTCTATGGCGTTCTGCGTCATGCCATCACTGCAGCGCTTCAGGAGTGCCCTATCGCCCAGCCTCTCAAAGACTGGCTCCAGCGCAGCGCGAATGAAGCCTGGCAGTGGGTTCTTGTGTGGTGGTGGCTCCTCGTGGTTGGCCAGTGCCCGGTTGTAGGAGCACCAGGAACTGTCCCCCTCGGGGACAGTTCCTGGTGGTCTGTATTCCCTATGCTTTGTATTCCCTTCATTGCCCTCAAGTTGATCTCGAAGGGCGTAATGTTGGCTTCCCCGGCGACTCGTGGAGAAGAAAATCGACTCTCAGCGAAATCGCAGCTCGAACACGTAAGGACCAACTTCACTGCCAGGCCGTATTGCCTCTCTTCGCACTTCGAAAGTCCTACGATAGCCATTCCGCACTTGCCGCATGCCGTGGACGGAAAGAGTTCTTGTAGCACTGTCATGTCCACGATGACGTACTCCGTGCCGCGGTCGGTGTCGTCACTCTCCATGCAGACGTCGAGGAGCTCAAACTTCCGTGAAGTCGCCGACTGATCTACCAACGAAGCCTTTCTGTCGTCCGCACGTTGTTCGCGCTCCACGCACTCTTCCTCCATGTAGAACACAGTGTCGATTCGATCCCAGACGAACTTGGTCCAGCCACGTCCACGAGTGGAAAAGCGGCTTGAGGCATCGGCGAAGCTGTCGAACACAAACTCGGTCCAGTCGCGTCCACCAACGGTAGAGCGGCTTGCGGCATGGCTTGCGGCATCGGCGAAGTCGAAGGTGTCGTTTTCCTCGATGCCGAGATCTTCTTGTTTCAGGCACGTCTCCTCTTTGTGTTTAGTCTCTGCGCGCTGGCCTTCAAACGGGCGTCCCCAGCCATCAGAACTCGAAGTGAACTCGAAGCGCGCAGGCAGAACGAAACAAAGAACTACGACGCAGGAGGGCACATATATACGAAACAAAGAACTACGATGCAGGAGGGCACATATATACGAAAAGGGAAAGCTAAACAAAGTGGAGGTATCAAAATATTTACATGAACGATGCGAAGAAGACAGGGAACATACATAACACTAGGAAGCACAAGAAAAACACTGAAAATGTCGATATAGAAAGTGGAGAAATGCGAAGGCAGCGTGCGTCTTGAACGGCGGAGCGAGCGAAAGCAGACGACGCGGGAGCTTGTGGAGCGACCGGGACGACGCGCCGGGGAAGCTAGGAGAGGAGGCGCGCGTTTCGGCCAATGAGAGAGCTGCGCCTCGGAGAAGCGCGCGCTTTGCCCAATCAGCGTCTTTCCTAGCGCTGGTGACGGCCTTTTGTGCGGCATTGACGACGTCATGGCCTTGAGGGGTACACTGCCTTGGAGCGCGGGAAACCAGCTTTCGAACAAGACCAAGATGGCTCCGATCGGATGAGCCGTTGCGGAGCTCCGACGGCTTGAAGTTTTAGAGTTTAGGCTTGAAGTCAGGTCTTTCAACGCTTACAAATTGTCATTAGTTTCATATTTAGAGATCGAATTGGGCATTTATATTTTGTGAGGACATACTCTGGACTATGTAGACCTCAAAATCGTGAACTTTGAAAAAAGGAATTTTTCGCGATTTTTTTATATTTTAAGACCCGCGTCCCACCTTAAACTGCTTTAGACAAAAGCAGGGATCACCTTTGTAGACAGCGAAGAACCATCATCGGACTCTGACAAAGGCGACTAGTGCACAGCATTTATTTTTGTGTTGGCATTCGTTTCATAAAATCCGTTCTATGAGGCATATGTTAAATTTTTATTATTTTACGTACGCGGTAGAATCGGCTGCAATATACCTCTTAATTACCCGGAAGCTGAATCTTCCTGCACGTTAGAATCGTGCAAACACGGTATTTAAACTTGGAACGGACTAACTAATGACAACGAATTGTAGTATTTACTTACCCTATTAAACTTGGAAAACGATCACAGTGACGTGGATACCGAATTTTTGTAGATGCTCATTCGTGTGTGGTAGAATGTGGTGGGTGGTTTTTTTATATTTCTATGCAAGTATAAAAAGAGCTCACATTTCTGCCTTATCAACAACCTCTGACGTTTCCCCTCCGTATTTCACTCTTCCTGAAAAAAAAGAGCTGATATGCATTTCTGTAATCACTACTGCATGAGGCACATTAAAAACCACAGATTAGCAGTCACGCTGTACTAGCTAAATTGCCACCCTAGAGCAGAGATATAAGGTGCCTTTTCAAAGTGGCCTGACTTCCAGCCATATCATGATCCATACAACACATTTTTGAGGTTCTGTAGAGCTGAATCTCTAAGTAGAACTGCAAGAGACCAGGGAAAACTGTTCCTGCTGTTGAAAGAGAGGATAACATTGAAAATGCAAATAATTTGCACTGTTTTCCTCTCTTTTTCTTTTTCACTTTTTATAAGTTCTCCTTTATGGAAGCTCTCCATTACATAAGATCCACTTTTCATCAATTTCACTTTTTGTCAGTTCCATTTTTTGTCAGTTTTACTTCGTTACTAAAACACTCAGTTGGGAAACTTACCCTTGAAACCTTGGCCGCTGGCGTCCACCGAGACCGAGCTAAGTACGATAACAGCGCCACCCTTTAGCGATGAGTTGGAACATGAAAGTTGCTCTATATGGCTACGGCTAGAGTCGCCGAATGTTCCCAGAGTATGGAAACTCCTAGGCTCAAGATGCCAAGATGGCGACTCAGTCTTTTTTCTTTACCGTGTTCACCATGAGCTTTTAAAAAGCATGTTTTTGCGTAAAAATAAAACGAAAAAAACTCCTTTTTGTATTAACACCTATTTGAGATTGGTGCAAGATAACAGGAGAAAGATGTTTTCTAAAATGTTTAGTTTACAAGGTTTTGCGGCACAATTAATATTGCTTTTCTACAATCATGTCTCATCGGTGATTTCAGGCAGTGTGTCCCAACCTGGGCGCATCCTAACTTTTCTAGTAATTTGTGGCGCGAGCGCTTTGGAGACGGGGGTTGGCATCCCTGAAACCCCTTCCACCGTATATGTTTTGGCACCAAAATGGCCGATTAAAGCCAGAATAAAACAATTGCAGTGGACGCTGTCAAATGCGATACTCCCAACCCAGTACAAGCAGCCATGCAGTTCCCCAGGTTGCTACTGCGGGAGAAACGAGTGTTGCGATCGCCATTAGCTCTTTTCTCGAGTACGGATCGGTGCCACTTTTTCAGGGCAGGCTCTATGCCAATTTCCCAACTGAGTTGTCCTAGTAACGTTGGTTTTACTTTTCGTGGGTTTTATATTTCATGAGTAACTTTTACGCAAGTTCCACTTTATGCAAGTTCCACTTTATGCAAGTTCCACTTTATGCGAGTTCCACTTTATGCGAGTTCCGCTTTGTGTGAGTTCCGCTTTGTGTGAGTTCCGCTTTATGTGAGCCGCTTTATGTGAGCCGCTTTATGTGAGCCGCTTTATGTGAGTTCCGCTTTATGTGAGTTCCGCTTTATGTGAGTTCTGCTTTATGTGAGTTCCGCTTTATGTGAGTTCTACTTTACTTTATGCGTGTTCCACTTTATGGAAGACCCGATTTATGCGAGCTCCACTTTATGCGAGCTCCACTTTATGCGAGCTCCACTTTATGCGAGCTCCACTTTATGCGAGCTCCACGTTATGCGAGCTCCACTTTATGTGAGTTCCACTTTATGTGAGCTCCTCTTTATGTGAGCTTCACTTTGTGAGCTCGTTTTTGTGAGTTTCACATTGTCATTCCAAATTTGTCATTTCCTCTTTCTGTCAGTTCCACTTTTTGTGAGTGTCACCTTACATGAGTTTTTGGCATTTGCACTTTTTGCCAGTTTCACTTTTTGTCAGTTCTATTTAAACACAACACCTCACATGAGTTCCACCTCACATGAGTTCCACTTTTTGTGAGTTACATTTATCAGTTTTACTTTTCATGATTTGCACTTTTCGTTAGTTTCACTTACTGTATCCTCTTGCAGCACCCTACTAAAGCTTTATTCCCAAAACATGTGCCATGTTACAGGTGGTCTGGGTGGCCTGTGCATCGGAGTTGGTGGTGCTGATGCTGTGGACGTAATGGCTGACATTCCCTGGGAGCTCAAGTGCCCCAACGTCATTGGAGTCAACTTGACCGGCAAAATGTCTGGCTGGACGTCAGCCAAGGGTAAGGTTGTCTTTTTTATTTTTACATATTGCTGTTACCGTTGTCTGGAAACTTTTCGTTGCTTTCCCTGGGGGACTCCATTGCCTCTAGGGAAAAGCCTGTCCTTAGGAAAGCTCTGTCCCTAGGCTTTTCATAGGGACAGGTTGGAGCACACCAGAGGCATGCTGTCGGTGGCAGGAAAAATCGATCCAATCAGGCAGAGAGTTTACTAGAGGGAACTAGAGACGTTCATAATTCCCTCATATTCTTGTTGTGCGTTCTAAAAGTGTTAATTTGTCAGCATTTGAAGACAAGGCGTCGATATCTGGCTCATGCGCCAGCGTTGCAAGAAACGCATTTGAAGCTGTGGATGCACGTGAGACAGCACTGTCTGACGCTGCCACGACGCAAAGCCTAGCAGCCAGGCAGGTGGTTAGCGCAAGAGAAAATGAATGAGAATAAAGGACTGGCGGTGTCATCTACTGCAGCAACTCGTAATTAATAATAGCATCAACATGGTGTGTCTGTAAATATACGGGTAGTATGCTTTAAATCTGTATTAAATAGATTTTAGAAATAGATTGTCAAATTTTGCCTTTACAGCTACATAGTACTTAGCTTCCTGAAAATATGCTTGTCCCTTACTTTGATCAGCAATATCAGTGGGATAAAAATTGACTGGGGCATGATCATTCACTGGGGCAGAAGATTGGGGGAGTTTCTAGGCCAGAAATATCGAAGAACTGTGCTACTGCTCAATTCCAACTACTGGCAAGGACTGCTAGTGCCTGCAGCAGGTAGTTTTAATTTTTGGAATAAATTTAACTAATCTCTCGTGATAAGGCCCATTTCTGGAGACACTTGTACGTAAAATTTCATAAGAAGGCCCCCCTCACAAAATAAGGAGAGAAATGGTGAAAAACATCGGGTGGGCTATCTTTGCAAATGCCACAGCAAAACGTTATCAAAAATTAATGATAAACATTGGGATACCCACTACAAACCACATGATGCAAGAACTGACACCGCAGATCGTGGACATTAATGTCCACGATCTGCGGTGTCAGTTGAAACGCGAATTTGCAATTGCAAATTCGCGTTTCACGGTGCGATAAACACAGAGGGAACTCGCAACAAACTCGTATGTCACGAGAAAACATAACGCAGGTTGCGGACGCAGCAGATTCACGATTCACGGTGTGAAGAACCCGCAGAAACCCGCTGAGAACTCGCATCTCACGGGAACGTATACCGTAGATGCAAATGCAGCAGATTCAAGTTTCAGGGTGTAATAAACATGTTGAGAACCTGCTACAAGCTTGCCTTGTAGCAGGTTCCCACACCGTAACGGTAACAAATATTGCGGACGCAGCAGAATTGCATTTCACGGTGCAATATACACGCGGGAACAACTCGTGTGTTATAGGAATTTTTATTGCACGCGCTGATCATGGACAGAAACGCGGGAATCTGCTACAAACTCGCATGTCACGTAATCGGATACCGCAGATCACGGACGCAGCAGATTTGCCTTTCACTATGCAATATACACGTGTGAACAACTTGCTCGTTACAGGAGCCAATATCGCGTGCGCGAGTTGTGGACAATGATGTGGAAACGTGCTATGAACTCACTTGTCAGACATACCCGTACCGCAGATTGTACGGTTCATGCAATTCCCATTGGACATCGCATGACGGCAGACGGGAATCAGGGGGGGGCAATGTTTTTAACACCCGCCTTTGAGAGATCGCCCATCCCGTTTTTCTGGCTAAATATCTGTAATATAAAAATTCCAAAACATCGCCCACCCCCCGATTATTGTTGGACGTCACGTGATGTCCAATGGGAATCGCATCAATCGCACGGTCTGCTGTACCGGTACCTCTGGCAAGTGAGTTCATAGCGGGTTCCTGCTTTTTCGTCCCCATCTGCGTAAGCAATGTCAGCTCCCGTAACACGCGAGTTGTTCCTGCGTGTATTATGCATAGTGAAACATGAATCTGCTGTGCCCGCTATCTGCGGTATCCATTCCCGTGACGTGATAGTTTGTAGCGGATTCCCGCATTTTTGTTCGCAACCTGCGTGCGCGATATCGATTCCCGTAAGATGCGAGTTGGTCCCGCGTGTATACAGTCAAACCCACTTATAACGATTCTACATATAACGTCCTATTGGTTATAACGACCAGCTTTCAGAAAATATACAAAATCAAGGCCCTGCTTATTAAAATTGGTCCAGATAAAATAACTGTTTTTAAAAGCATCATACTCTTACAACAAACACACAAAGTTCGCTTACAAAAAAAAGAAACTCTCGCACACGTGAAAAAAAAAAAGAAAAAAGACCAGGAGTTTTAGGCGCTGCGCTCCGGGCGACGCTCAAGGTTATTTCCGCGGCCTCGCAGCATACTTCCCTGGGGAGGAAACAAAACTACAGAAGCAAAAACGCCCTCTCAAGTCGCGTAGTTCGCCGATTGTGAGTGCACGGGAAGGGGAAGAGGAGGAGAAGGAGGAAGTCAAGTCTCGCGCAGTGCTGCGTTCGTTCGTGAGTTGGGTACGAATATATTTTCTGTGTTAAATGGGCTAACTCTTCCAGATGACGATTTCACATATTTGTTTCAGCCTCATATTTCACGCATAGCCGATATTTGTACAAATCAAAGATGTTTAATACATTATGGTGACCAGAAATGTTTTCCATTGGATATTCGTATGCCAGATTACAAACACTTCTTAGTATCTGTTCTTGTAATATGAATATCTTTTGAAAGTTGGTTTGAATAGTTGTGCCCCTTAGTACCAGGTGACCGTAATTCATAGTTGAATAAAATGGCGATTTATATAATAACAATTTTATTCTCAGTGGCAAAAGAATTTTCAATGTGATATAATTAACATGGTCATCCCATAACATGGGATGACCATGAAAATAAACACCAAAAGTTTTAAAAGCTGGGACTAATCTTATTTTAGAAGATATCAAAAACCCATCAAGTCATGATTTCATTGTTTTTTGAGGTTGTACGCTTAACTATCTATAATAGACCCTTCTCATAAGGGCACATCTAATAGCCGCTGCGACAATCCGAGCCCGCCATAGTGGCCATAGTTTGATCAAATGCTCCGAGCATGTATTGTACATGTGAGCTGCATCGACATTCAGCAAGGACTCTGATCCATACACATGCTTCGTGCCATGGCGATCGCCAATGTTGCTTGATGGGTTTTTGAAAAAGGTGTATTGGTCTAGCAGCTTGGTTGCCTCGTGTTTCAGCGAATGTCGTTGATATCTGGCGTTTGCTTCGCAGACATCATCCTCAAGGTTGCTGGCATTCTGACCGTCAAGGGTGGTACGGGCGCCATCGTGGAGTACTTTGGACCTGGTGTGGAGTCCATTTCTTGCACAGGTATGCATTGCAGGCAGCAGGGAATGTCGGTACTGTGTTGGCATTTGGTAGCCTTGATGGGCATGGCGTGGGATTTTAGTTGGCTCATATCGGCACGGTGTCAGTTTTTAGTTTACCTATTTATTGACATACAGTCGCCGACAGATTTTTTTGGACGCCGATAATTCGGAATCGTTTGATATTTCGAACCTAGAGGAGGAACCGTAACCTACCCAATTGAAAGTCCTACTGCTAAATGACGACTTTTGGCTTTTTTATTTTTTCTCTGGCTGTGCGTCATTATCATCATCGTTACCATTTTGCTTTGTTCATTCACCATTCTGCTGCAGTGGTTGACTTATGCCTCTCATCTTGTCTCGGTAATTGTGTTTCCGGACTATGCTAACATCTGTTCTTCTACCGCCACAAAGTTTTGCTAAGAACTGCGGAAAGTACTTGGCCATAACGCTAGAAAAGAAGGCAGCAATTATCAAGCCAGTAGAAAGTGGTCGAAAGCAAGCAGAGGCGTAACCTTAAAGAAGGCACTATTGGCGCCTTTTTAATGCGAAAGCATTAACTATCCCATGGAGCGGAACCGGCGGCGTCTGTAACCGCGAAAAAACGCGAAAGGAATTGTAAGCAGTGATAGAGCGCAGGCGAGCTGGTAATTAATCGACATCTTGTAAACCCCATCTCAGTGTTTACAAGATGTCGAAAGGAATGCCTATTCTCCCATTGGCTGAGCAAACCTGATCCTAGATAGCCATTGTCGGCCACTTAACGAGAGTGCACTCGTCCGCCGTTCTCGTGTCAGGCGTTGCCGGACTGCGGCCGCGGGGCTGCGGCCACGTCTGCTCCTCGGCGCTGAGGAACTGAGCAGTGCCTGTATATCGGCGGCGGCCGCAACCTCGGCAGTAGCGAAACGTGGCCGTCCACGCCAGTACACAGCAGACGAACTAAGGAAGCGGAAGAATGACATTTATGCTTTCGCATTCACAACTCCTAAGAAGTGCTTACGTGTCCTTGGAATATTTTTTTTAAGCTGAAAAAGGCAACTTTTTCAGTCGGCGACTGTATACAGCTGGCCGAGCCTCTCGCCCAAGCAGGAGGGGCATGTTGGACAAAAAGCAATAACACATAGGTATGCCCGTACGCACAACAGACGATACGACAGTCTAAAAATTTGAGGCAGGAAGCGAAATTCAACATTATTTAACCGACAATTATGAAAAAATGCTAAGGCTGCATGAAAGCAGTGGTAATCAATAAAATCCTGCTGGGAGAAAAATAACTTTAAATGCATATTTTGTTGCGAAAGTGGCCTGTATTGCACATTCCCTTGCGTGTCATGTTTTTCTCGAGTTGGGTGGTTTAGGAATCTGAGTGAGATTACATTTATGTGGTCACGGACGTCACCGAGCTACTGCTGGGGTTCGATGCTTGGGAGCGGACATGCTTTTTGTTATTTCTGTTAATGTCATGTTCCAGTAAATTCGGGTATCTTGTTGCTTGTTCAACGACAGAGTGTTCTATGTGCTGAACCTTCTACGCCGATTGTTCTAGAAGCCCTCGCATTTACAAAAGCGGCTTCGCATGACGAGCTGGAGTCAGCCTCGCCCCAGCGTTCGATCCTGCTGTTTCGCCAACATCGATGCCTGCTACGCCAGCCTTCTTCTCTTTTGGTTTGGGCATATGTTCGCCCCACTAAGCGTCTAGTTTTTTTTAGTCATTCGTTGCCGCGGTCAGAGGGCGAGTAATGCCACGCGCGTAACCGAGCACCCGCGTCCGTGGCCGAATGGTTATCGCTTTTGGCTCCCACTCAAAGGGCCGAGGTTCGATGCCTTGTTACGCAGAGCCCCTTTTCTACACACGTGGGCTTCTAGAAAAATCGGCATAGAAGGTTCAGCGCATAGAACTTTTCGTCCTCAAACAAGCAACAGGGTTCCCGAATTTACCAGAACGCGACATTTACAGAAACAACAAAAAGCACATCCGCTCCCAGACATTAACCTCGGCCTTTTGCGTGAGAGCCAGACACGGTAACCATTCGGCTACGGGCACGGTTGTTCGGTGACGTGCATTGCAATATTGTGTGACAAGCTGTTCTGGAGAAATAATGAGGCTTGATCAGTATGGTGTTGACGCTTAGTTGGCTCGATCAGCATGCAGCCGTCAAGTTGGGGGATTTAGCAGTCTTTCAGCTAATACTTTATGTTGGCTGCCTGTTGCGACACATGGACCTAATGTCACATACTACTTGTGACATTAGGTTGACATTTGGTGGTGCTTGCGGGCATAACGTTGGCTATGCATTGGGCAATTCCATCAAGGGTGCGAAGTTGAAATTTTTTTTTTTCCTTCAACATAAGATTGGTCAATATCATATATGTTGTTGAGAGGAGCAATGCCAATCTTGCGAGGTCAAGCTTCAAGCTAGCCTGTTTTAGTTTAAGTTTATTTGTTTACTAAATCTTTTATATCAATAAGATCTTTGAAACTCTAGGAAACAGGTTTGTTTCTTGACTGTTTCCAACATTCATTTCTGTTGTATTACATTGAATATACTATAAAAATCTTCTTTGACTTAAATGTCTTCTTGACGGGCCCCACTATGCTATCATTAAAATTTAATAACCGAAAATATTTACTCGAGAATAGTTAAAACAGGGAATTAGAAATATTTAAAATTTGAGCACTTGGATTTTGAGTTAGAAAACATTTTTGTTTCTTTGTACCCACATGAAACCATCACCAGTTATTTTTCGAGCGCAGCTCTTGGGCGCCCGTTTTCGGCTTGAGCGGCGTCGCCGTCGGCGTAACCGCGAGGTCACGTGACCCCTCCCCCCCCCCCCCCAAGGTCACCCCAAGGTCATGTGACCCCAAAGGTCACGTGACAGCCACGTGACTCCCCAAGTCACGTGACCCCCCCCCCCCCCCCCCCCCCCGGAGCATATTCAAGAATGAGGGGAGGAGGAGGAGGGGTCTACCCTCCCCTCAGTACTCTTCCCCCCTCCTCCTCAAGAGCTGTGCTCCGATTCGGTGTTACAGGGAGTTGTAAACAGTTTTCACTTTTTTTGTGTCAATTGTGTGTAACCAGAGTATCTTACTAGAGCAGTGTCGAGCAAGATTGCTTCCCTCGTCGATTTGTATGTTAACTACCTATTCATTGATTGGCTGACTGACCGATCTGCAGGTATGGGAACCATCTGCAACATGGGTGCCGAAATTGGAGCCACCACGTCCGTCTTCCCCTACAACAGCCGCATGAAAGACTACCTAGCCGCCACAAACCGCAAAGGTAACATCTCAAATAAATGTTAGCACGAAATGCTGGAATTGGCACTAAGACATCCACCAGTTTATTACTTGATACTGAGTCGCATATTTAATGAGAAAAACAAAGATACCAAACCATTGTCAATTTGTCAACGGTCAACGATGTTCAATTTGTCAACGGTCAACGATGTTCCTACTAACCACACACGAACCCCTTCTTTTCTGCGTATTATTTCAATCACATTATTAATATGTATAACTTCTACTGCAGTCTTTATTTTGTGTCTGTATAGTAATATTCCATATGTTTGTTTTCTTTGCATTATATTTTACCTCCTTTGTAATGCCCCGATTAGGTCTTTAAGGTAGAAATTAATTAATAAGACGCAGAAGAAAATCGGCGCAGAAGAACGTGACATCAGCGACTTTAGAAGGCAGTAATCAAAATTTCTTTTAAATCAATCAGTTTGCATTGCTTGGTGGCCATAAGAACGGTGTTTTGTTGACTTGATCATTTTCGCTAATGAAGATGTATGTCGCAGGGCTTATTACAATATTACGAGTTTTGCAATGTTACTTTTTTATGTTTTACGTAACAGAGAGTAAAATGGGGGGAACTGCTAAGAGCTTTCTGCTGGGAAAAATATGCCAAGTTTAAAGACAACTATTTTTATTTATTTTTTTCGTTTTTGGGGTGTTGTGTTACACGTTTCCCTAGAAACCTCAATTCGCATGAGGGCTTACTAAGGCCCCTGTAAACATTGGTCGTTTGTCCTGCAGACATTGCCGAAGCAGCCGACCAGAACAAGGAGCTGCTGACCCCCGACTCCGGCTGCAAGTACGACCAGGTCATCGACATCAACCTGAGCGAGGTGAGCCTTTTCAAGGATAAAATCATCTTTCTTGCAAAAGCTTTTGACTTTAGTGTCCTTTTAGGAGGTCCCTGCACTCCATAAATCTCTTTTTAAGTACCTCAATAGAACACAACTGTCACGAAATAAATTTAAACAATAAGAAAGAAAAACTTTGCACAATATTCTTATGTTGCGAGACAGATTTCGGCTTAGGATCGATTGTGGGAGGTCTTTCTGTTTCGAGGTGTTGACCCCGAAATAGAAGCATGTTTCCCAATCGCTCCCAACTCAAAACATGTCTCGCAACGTATGTGATGTGGTAAATTTTATTTTAAAAACTGGCAGTATCCAGGCAAAAAAAAAATAAAAAAGTTTTGGAGAAGTTAAGTGTTCTTTTAATGCTTCCGAGTCGAAAGAATCCTGTCCGTGATAGCCTCTGGTGAACCCCCGGGGTCTTCTGACGCCTTTGCTCAATTCAAACGCACAGTTGGAGCCCCACGTAAACGGGCCCTTCACCCCCGACTTGGCCCACCCCATCTCCCAGCTTGGGAAGAATGCCAAGGAAGCCGGCTGGCCCATGGACATCCGTGTGGGTGAGTCGGCACTTTTAAGTGCGCAGCCTCTATAGATCCAGACTCTTGGGGTGTCTGTGTCTGCACCTGAGATGTAGCATCGACGGGGACGTCGCGCCGATGACGTTGCAGTTTTTGCGCAATTCACGGTCTCTGGCTGCGGGACCGAAGAGACAAAAAGAGAAAACGTCCTCGGTTCATCGTTTTTTTTACATGACACCGTGACGTCACGTAACAGCGTCATTTGTTGTTTCTTCCGGGACATTGCTGCAGTCTGCAATTGGTTGGCACTGTGCTGCTGACCAATCGCGGGGGGCGTTGATGTCCCGGGCTCCCTGTCCCACTTGGTTTGCCGTGTAGCATAGGACCTCAGATTGGAGCGCTTCATTGCAGGCTTGATTGGCAGCTGTACCAACAGCAGCTACGAGGACACGAGTTACGGCAGTTTTGAACACTAAGCTGCTCATCTCGGTGCCAATCCCTGGCCCTTAGCCATGATTGGCCCAAAGAGCTGACCACGGCTATGAAGCCAGAGGCAAAGAATCTTTATTCACTTCTTTTCTACCAACCAAAAACCAATCACTTCACTTGGCTACGATTTGCCCATGTTTGATTATAATAATAATATTAATAATAATAATATTAATAATAATATATTAATCTTTATTTGAAAAGCAAGGTGTACTGGGTGGCTCGCAAGGCTAGGCAGAAAGGCATTGGTTCTTATGCGTGAGCGTCTGCTAGCCAGCCACCCAGGGCAAATGAATGAAGTAAAACCCAATATGTGACGAAGAAATATACAGGAGGAAGGTGAGGCTGAGATGCGCGAGGAAGGAAGGGCTGGTACGACACAGTGTGTGCTAAGCCTCAACGCCAGACCCCCAGTGCCACTCGGGGCAGCAGAGCGCTGGTCGTTCGACTCTTAGCTGTAATCGGCTCTAAGGTACTATTAACCGTTAGTCTCGATTTGCCCCGAGGCCTTGCACAGTTACGGTTCTTAGCGATGACCACGGAAGGCCACAAGACACTCAGTGGACCCACATTTCTCATCTCCGACACATTTCAACTCCTGTCTCGTCGCGTGCGTGCTTCCCCGCGTGGCACGTCCGATCGCCACGTCTTGTTGCAGGCCTGATTGGCAGCTGCACCAACAGCAGCTACGAGGACATGAGTCGAGCGGCGTTCCTGGCAAAGCAGGCCCTGGACCACGGGGTGAAGGCCAAGTGCGCTTTCACGGTCACCCCCGGCTCTGAACAGATCAGGGCCACCATCGAACGGGACGGCCAATCCAAGATCTTCGACGAGTTTGGCGGCATGGTGCTTGCCAATGCCTGCGGTCCCTGCATCGGACAGTGGGACAGGTCAGTCTGGAAATCTTTTCTCTGCCTTGGACGTTTGACAGTGTGGACCCGGCGGCACGTTGACCCTTTCAGGAGGTCACGCTACTCGCTTTCCAAACACGTTGCGCTGCGATTTATGAGAAAGGTGCCTTTAGGTGGCGCTTTTACTAGTTAAACAAGAGAATTTCAGCTTTCCCAAAGTTAAAGCAATACAAAAATATTTTTCTTCCTGCGGTCTGCACCAGGTTTTTGCAATCATCGAACGACATTGTCGATTACTGTGGCATCTTATTGTGACAGAAAGACTGGTGGAAGGAAAAGAAAGTAAAAATTGGGTTTTATTTTATCCCCGTCGCCGCGTCGTTCTATGTTTTCAGAAGAAGCTAGGCGCAGCCTATAGAAAACGACTTTTGTCATCTTTAACTGCGGTGAACTTGTCCTTTGATATTTTGTTATCAAGATTTGCCAATCACTAAGATCAGCCATTGACGTCTCACGTCGATCATCACTTCAAAGTCTCGTCCACATTTGCACAAACCAATCTGTTGAAAAACTTACACTTGTCCTTGCCATCTCCAAACTAAACGGCCTGCTGAGAGATATCGCGTCGACGACTTCACCCGAGGTATTTTCCAAGTGCCTTGAATGACTCGCGTCGGGTTATGTAGCGCTGTTTTGTGTTCTGTTTCTGTTTTTGCCAACAACTTTGTAATCGTGCTTTCTGTTTTTTTGTCACTTGACCAAATAGATAATTGCCTTGATCATTATCACTCTCCCCCCCTATGTAATGCCCAAAAGGGCCCTTAGGGTAAAGAAAATAAACAGTTCACTTTATTTCTTCTGCAACATGCCATTCAGCATGTTAAAAAATAAAACATTATGACGCGTCCCGTCGTCTTCGTTTTTTCATTTTGTTAGACCGTGACCAGCTAGCCCAGTTGGCCATCTTAATTCCACCTCTTGCGCAGGAAGGACATCAAGAAGGGGGACAAGAACACGATCGTGACGTCGTACAACCGCAACTTCACGAGCCGCAACGACGGCAATCCGGCCACCCACGCCTTCGTCACCTCCCCCGAGCTGGTCACCGCCCTGGCCATCGCGGGGCGCCTCGACTTCAACCCCATGACCGACGAGCTCACGGGGTCCAAAGGTTCGTCGTTAACCCCTTCCTTTGCCACGAAACGGGGAGGGCTGCACTTCTGTGATGGCGTAGCACTAGTGTTTTGAAAATTCTCCTACTACGGTTGCGTTCCAGTGATTCAATCGAAAGGAACTCCCGTACAGTGGTGTCTCTTTGGTCTGCTCCTTTCTCTCGCGAGGCATCGTCGGCGACGGAAGTGCCGCGCCGTATGCGCCGAAAATAGTGCTACGGCTGAAAGTTTGCTGTATACTTTGTCAAAAGTGCCATTTTCACTAAGAACTGTGCCACGCTTTTGCCGTGCCAAGATAGGCTTAAAGGGATACTCCAGCGATTTTTCGAGCCACCTCAACTAAGCTACATTTTCGGAATCACTGGCCTTTATCCTTTCTGGTATATGCTATTTAGTATCACGAAATTCAAAATGGGTATTGTAAAGTCGGCAAGTGAAAATGGTGCAAAAACCAACGTTCGAATGTACCCGCACTTTTCATTGCCGTGATATTGGGCATCTGTTTCGTGCTGCCGTGCAGGTGCTGGAGCGAGTTTCCAAAGCATTCATTTGACATCAGGAAACTGCTTGTAATCAGTTGGGAACAGTTTACAGACCTGCCCCCCCCCCCCCCCCCCAACGTTACTTTTTCATTGTTGCCTGGAGAGACTTCCACTTTAAATAACACAGTGAGGCCCAAAATTGTAAACTCAATAACTTAGCAAAAAAAAAGGAAGTACTTTGGCCCAATATTTGGATTACTATTTCAGCGATGTTTCTTGGCGTGTTTAGCAAATTTTCAGACAAATCAAGGACTATGAAGAAAACACCAGGGTACCCCTTTAAGTTAGCGAAGCAAAAATTAAAAATATTTTATTGTTGGTAGATTTTTATATTCAGAGAAGGATGAAAGCAAAAGGGTACAAACGTGTACTTCACGGCGTCTCTTCGCAACATACAGTTTGTTTCATCTTGGGTTAGAGCACAGACGAAGGTTCAAACACATCCATCCGTGAACCATGCCGCAAACACCACGACTTAAAGCGCAAGTCGTGGTAGATTCGCTGCACTTGATTGGCTTGGCTGATGGAAGGACATGTAGAGGAAGATGGACGAATACCACGATGTCGCGGTGAAACTAAGTACTATCGAGATTGCTCGTCAACCACTCTGGCCGGTTTATGCGCCGGCAGGTGGATCAGACAAAATGTGGTAGTTAAGGCAGTTCCCATGCAGTTGTTGATCGAAAGAGCTGCGAATTTTGACTTCACTCTGGTTCCAACACCGCTAAAGAGCAGCGTCGCTCCTTAAGCACGAGTGTAGGTTTTCATAATACTTGTGTGTGGTTATTTTTGCAGTTTATAGTATTTAAGACTAGAGTTTGGTAGGTTCATAAAACTTATGGGACGCATTTGCATTGATGGACATCTTAGCGGATATATGTACTGGTTTTTGCCGGAATTTTACAGAAATTATATTGACAGGCTAAATAAACTACCAAGAGTAAAAGTGGGAGGGAAGAGCTCCCACCTGAAGTGTTGCGCTACGAATCATTTTTCTTTCATTTTCTAAGTGTGCATTGTAAACGGAACTCACTCTGGCCAGAGCCTTAATTCTGAAAAGAATGCTCTGTATTCCTTTTGTGCCCTATCTATTCTTATTACAAAAGGTAAGTAGTAGTATG